TCGTTCGGAGAGAACGAAAAAATATACCTTGACAGTTGGAAATCGAAGATTCCAAGTTCCTACTTTCAAGGATTCCCGCCGGCGGAACCTACAAGTTTAATTTGCCTAGTCGTTCGGAGAGAACGAAAAAATATACCTTGACAGTCGGAAATCGAAGATTCCAAGTTCCTACTTTCAAGGATTCCCGCCGGCGGAACCTACAAGTTTAATTTGCCTAGTCGTTCGTAGAGAACGAAAAAAATATACCTTGACAGTTGGAAATCGAAGATTCCAAGTTCCTACTTTCAAGGATTCCCGCCGGCGGAACCTACAAGTTTAATTTGCCTAGTCGTTCGGAGAGAACGAAAAAAATATACCTTGACAGTTGGAAATCGAAGATTCCAAGTTCCTACTTTCAAGTATTCCCGCCGGCGGAACCTACAAGTTTAATTTGCCTAGTCGTTTGGAGAGAACGAAAAAAATATACCTTGACAGTTGGAAATCGAAGATTCCAAGTTCCTACTTTCAAGGATTCCCGCCGGCGGAACCTACAAGTTTAATTTGCCTAGTCGTTCGGAGAGAACGAAAAAAAATATACCTTGACAGTTGGAAATCGAAGATTCCAAGTTCCTACTTTCAAGGATTCCCGCCGGCGGAACCTACAAGTTTAATTTGCCTAGTCGTTCGGAGAGAACGAAAAAAATATACCTTGACAGTCGTAAATCGAAGATTCCAAGTAAAATTCTTACTCCGTAACGCATAGAGATATGAATTACCATGTTTGTTTCAAAATGGCCCCCAAAAAGATGAAAATGTTGATTCAAATATTGACTATGTTCTCCTAGAATCTGTCCACCATTCACTTTAATACCTATATAGCCTATGCCCGTGGGATAAAAATATATCAGCCAAAATATATAAACTTGACAACTTGTTTTTATCTCCCTTTATCAAATCATGGAATAAGACTACGAACTGCTCATGTGGGGCCCATGCAGGAGAGACAGGGCTGAGATGGCCTCAGATGCAGGTTAATCGACTGCAAACCCCCATTCCCTCCCCCCCCCTCTCCGACTCCGAGGTCCATGTTCTCGTGTATAAAAAAATAATAACAATATTATTGAAAGTTTGGCTCTTTTAAAATTGACTTAACATTTGTATAAGGTTTTGTTCATTTTGTTTTTCCAGCAAGAAAAATTAAAATCCCCGAACGAGCAATGCGCTACTAAATGGAGTTATCTCCCTTGCACTATGGGTAAAGCTCAAGCTATCGTTAGCCCCTTTCCTCGTGGCGAATTAAACGATTCGCTGATAGTTGAAGATTCTTCAGATGCTACAACCGATGCGAATGGACGCGTCATATCCACAGACGGGTGAGTTACTGATAGTCAATTTATTAAATATTCAAAAATAAAACAGAAATGCTTACCTACGTGTAGGTCTACTCTGGACGTTGTATTACTATTAGTCTGAATGCAAATAGCGGACGGGGTAGCTATGGGCCTTCGGACCAACACGTTGCCTCGAAACCCCATCGCGGTGAAGAGTACCCGTTCAATCAGTTATAGGTAAAGTCAGGTCTGATTTTAGGACCATTTTCTGTGCACGAAACTTGACTCGCAACCACCTCTTTGTCAATGATGTTTAATAGGACGGCGGGCCGGGCAAGGGACTACGTATAGTCGTTCGGATGGGACGAAAAACAGAGGTCCCGTGTACTCACTGGCGTGCACACAAAAAACCCTTGACAATTGGAATGCGAAATAAGAGTAGGCCGTACCGTCGCTGTGCGGGCAAAATTATCCTCATAGCACACTGTATGGCGTATAATCGCCTTTATTAGCCCAGTAGGAGCAGAATAGTAGGACGTTAAACCCCATTTCATTTCATTTCTGGATGGTTCTATATAGTAGGACGTTAAACCCCATTTCATCTTATTTCCGGTTGGTACTGTATAGAGTAGGACGCTAAACCCTGTCGTGATTCTCAATTCATTTCATTTACTTGCTGGCCTGGACTCGAGACATGGACAGAAATATCTAGAGCGCACGAACAAACCGTCTAAAGCCCCCCACATCCTTCGCAAATAACCGTAGATGATTGCAAACAATTACCAAGGGGGTATTCTCCTGTCCCCTCAGTTTCCTCCCACTAGTAAAGGCCCATACGCGCATTGAATTATTGAAATAAAATTAAACCACATGTTAGTCCCAAAATGACATGATTTGTGTCAAGTGGACTTTAAACCCAATCTCATAATGACCTAGATATTGTGTCGATGTTAATTACCCTGATTCCATTAATTCCATTAATTTGATTTATTTGGTTTCGTTACAGAACTGAAGACGTGTCACCATGCCAACAAGAGAACCAATCGGTTATTATTTTAGAGACATCACATTGTAATGACCACGTGGTTGTTACTGATGACGTCCCAGATAGATCGAAAACACAAGATGATAGTTTATTGGACAAACTGGAATCATTCCAGAATTATTCCCTCAGTCAAACCTTCACACTCCACCAGTCCTTTCAAGCTATCTTGAGCGACATCAAACATCAAGAAATGCTTGCAGAATGTCCAGAAGCTCCATCAGTTCCCACAGAACATCCACAAATCTTTGATCATACTGCAGCTCACCTTGAACCAGGTTCCAACCAAAGCGACAGTACGAATCAAAATTCGGTTCATTGTATTACAGACAATGTGAAATGCGACGACCGTACAGACACAGTCGATGTGCTTAAACAGACCCGACTTACAAACACATATGATGAAGGGCACACCAGTGAAAATGTCTCTTATATTCATATACACACCAAAACAGGTGCGCGCGACACGAAAATACACAATGGTGCAACGAATGATGAATCTTATGCTAAGAACAGTGAAAGCGAATTAGAATTACAGAACTTAGATCAGAATTCTCGTAACGAAGCCGCAACTAAACAAGAAGTACACCCAGAGTGTGTTGCGCTTCGACGTAGTGATTTCCAGCCAGATAGTGGTCATTCGGTATCCCAGGGTTACCATAAGACTAGTGCTCACACAGAAGGTGCTCATTCGCCCTCCCGAGGTTATTATCAAACTATTCCTCACACAGAAAGTGCTCAATCGCTTCCCCAAGGATACCACCAAGCTGGTGGTGATACAGAAAGTGCTCATTCGCCTTCGCGTGGTCAACATGGAACTGGTATGAACCCAGAAAGAATACACTTTCCATCACACATATTACCACCCAATATTACACATCCGGCTTCCAACCATCAAATAATGCACCATAGACATTTTTTGGCGCCAGCAAATATAAAATCGGATACAACAGAAATATCCCCAAATCATTCGTCAAATGGGGAACAAGGTTTGGACACCCACAAACCGTATCCTCCAAATGTCACAATAGACCCACGGTATCCACACAGGCCACCAATGTCGTCCAATACTCCGAGGTTTGTTAGCCAGAATTTCCCCCATCATAAAGCAACGGCTAGAGAACACATAACAACTCATCCAAATGAAACTCCGAACCCACTTACAAAGGTTACCAGCGACGCAATGAAAGAACATCACCAGAAAATGTCTACCGAGGACGGAAAAGTAAAAGTTCAAGAAACTAAGAAGAAAAAAGCCAAACGAAAAAGACAACTACACCCCCCGCAAACTACTGAACAGTCAAATCCTGAACAATCTAGCGAACATGACCAAATGCAAAACCCTAAGTTTTCCGAACATATTCAGTCAAATGAACAACTGACTATTCGCCCAAACGATGTTTCAAAAGATATATCAAAAACACCCCATATGGTCCCTTCAGTGATTAAAAATGAACCTCCCGAACCTTCTGTTGCAACACCCGCAGGAATCCGAGACCAACACAACCAAATCAACTCCCATATGATTCCTTCAGCGATTAAAAATGGACCGTCCCAACCTTCTATCGCTACACCCGCAGGAATCCGAGACCAACACAACCAAATCAACTCCCATATGATTCCTTCAGCGATTAAAAATGGACCGTCCCAACCTTCTATCGCTACACCCGCAGGAATCCGAGACCTACACAACCAACTAAACTCCCATATGATTCCTTCAATGATTAAAAATGAACCGTCCCAACCTTCTATCGCTACACCCACAGGAATCCGAGACCTGCACAACCAAATAACAGTGCAAGTAGAAAATAATCTTGGTTGTTTAAATCTCTCAAAACCCCGACCGTCCATAAAATCAGATAGAAACCATGAGCTGATGACGGTATCGAACCAACCCAGATTTGCTGCTCCAGCATATCAAGCTCTGGCGAAATTAAGTACCCTTGGTGAACCTGTTCATCACCAGCCTATTGCAAATTTCTCTCGTCACGAAGTAAATAGTTTTGTCCGAACAGCTAATGGCGGTTTAAATGGACACAATCCACACCTACCTACGTGGATATCACATACCAATCCACAGCATGATGCATCGTCAGTGTTTTCACAACACCCTAGAAACGCTAATGGTATCCCTATCCAAACAGAAGAAGCCACTATTGAAAATGTACACGTAAGCGTTGCGACGACGAATGCTCACGGTCTTCAAAATCGAGAACAGATTCGCGATAACGAAGGAACAAGGGGAAACGGTGGTTTAAGTATTCCAAAGATTGCATCTGAACACACTCATCTCACCCAAACATCTTCGGATGCCACGTCAACAAGTTGGGATGATCACAGAGGAACTGCATCTAGTATTTACACAAGTGCTGGAAATACGGTTCCATCACACGGACCGAGAGTCTCCCCGAAAGGTCATATGGCGTATACTGACCAATATATGAAACTCGGACATCTAGGACTTTCTCCTTTTACCGGTGGCTTGGCAGAATCCACACCAAAAACTCAACATCACACAAAACGATCGAGGCTATCGCCCAGTAATTTACTCATAATACCTGATCTAACACCAGACTTTGAACATACAGTTAAAAGATCGAATTTCGAAGTCTCCCCGAGCAGTTGTTCAACCGGGTCTGGAATAACGACCGGTTCGTCACCTGATAACCAGAATCACGGGAAGCGATTCAAATTATCACCAGCTAACATCCCGACCATGTCTGGCAGACTTTCACCCTTCAACGATCCATTTTTCTATCCCCCACCAACACACCAGTATCATCAGCTCCGGCAAGCTTCTCCTACAGGTTATAACAATATACAAGGCAAACCATTATCCCAGACCTCGCCATCCGGGTATCTGGGTTTACCTGGACATCACTCACCACTGGGTATGGAGATGTTTCACGCGTCCCAAAACCCATACCAACCCTTTTATAACCCCTCTTCAATGTACCACCAGTCACCGTATGCAGGAGCTATGCAGCACCAAAATATGATGTTCCCACCGAATCCAATGTATCCTCAATATCCCATGCCAGGAGGACAACCAGGGCTTCACAGTCAACAGATGCCCCCGCCATTCTCCCTACCCCCAGTTGGTCTCCCCTTCCAGGCCATGAATCAACAACACCAACCAATCAATTACCAGACCAACAATGGAAGAACTTCTCCACGTGTACAATTTAGTCAGGCCTCGGGGAAAGTAGGATTGGATCTTCACACGCCACAAGAAGCAGCAGGTAAGAACACCTAAGAACCAATTTCTTAATTGAATTACCATTCTTCTTTTTCTACTTTCATTTTGTTCTATGTTGTTCTTGGGGCGACGATCTTCGAAAAAAGCCTAAGGAAATCGCTTCGACTTTTAGATATGACGTCACACAAGTCCAAAATGGCTGCGATGACGTTCATATGAGATCCGTGCATGTGTCATTAACCGTCTGTATTTGGTTTTCGATCATTTCAGGACATCCAGAATGTATTGTACCGGAAGACGAGGATAGCCGGTTGTCCAAGGTGCCAACATTTGGACATATTGGCCAAGTGTCACAGGTGAGGTTTTCCCATTTCAGTTCTTGACCTAATTATGGGGAAGGCTGACTGGTCTACAGTCAGAGGACCCAAATTAGTTCTAATGTGTTATTTGTGCTCTTTTATATAAAGCATATAATTTTATGATTTTATTTATTTTGTTGTATTATGTTTGTGCAAAGTAAATCTATCCATTTACAGACATGCAAATTGCATTTATGTGAGTGTGATGGACATTGACCAGAATATGGCCCCCTTTTCTCTGATGACGCAAGGACCCTAGTGACATTTTATTTTCAGCCAGGGGTCCCATGTAAACTTAATCCGATCCTGTCGGTTATGGCCTCTTACTGATCTGCATTTTGGAACCAGTAGTTTCTTCGTGTTGCAGGGATCACCGGTTCTGTATCCTGACGGACTGACTCCTTATTGTTTAACATCAACCTGATTAAAACATAGATCCTATTACGTTTCGTTCTTTATAGTTCAAAATTTCGTTTTACTTGTCTTTATTACACTAGCTAGGATCTGGAAGAGTTGTTATATAACAGGCGTTCTAGTTGATGTTAGGAATTAGCTAATGAAACGGTCTGTTACAGCGAGTTCTTCGTGTTCTCTGCACGGAACTGTGGGTAAACCCCTAGAAACGTCAACGCTGATTGATTAATCAATGTCTGACGTCGTAGGGTCAAAAGCCGCTCGTATGACCCCTGATGCTACCTCCCAGTACAACTGGTCAGATCTTCATGTGGTGTAGGTGATCGAAAGTATAAAAAAAACCGAAACGAAATATAGATCTGTATTTTAATGAGGTCGGTTTAACGTCTGCTTCCACAGTAGTTATATCGCAGACAAGTTATTTTAGTACACTGTACGTTACATTGATTGTATTATTTCGAGAAGCGTGGGGTTGGATGACCGAATGGTTTAACGCCTGTGGTTTTGATCACAAGGTCTGTCATTGAGAGGCGGGTTGGATGGCCGAATGGTTAGCGTGCGCGCGCTGTATCGTAAAGTCTGTCATTGAGTCGACTGGCATGGTTTCGAATCCCCGGTTGTACGTGACAAGGAGTAGGGTCGCCTGTCCAACCTCATGGGTTTCCTCCCACTGCTAAAGAACCCTACGCGCAAGCAAATTATTGAAATAAAATTAAACCATATGTTAGTCCGGAAATGACCTAGTTTGTGTCGAGTGGACGTTAAACCCCATTTCTCTCTCTCTCTCTCTCTCCCTCTCTCTCCTCTCTCTCTCTCTGTCATTGAGACAAGTCCCATGGTTTCGATTCCCAGCTTGTTCGATTTCCTTCTACCGTGAAATACCGCTACATGCAAGCGAAATATTGACATAGAATTGAACCATATGTTAGTCTCGAAATGCCATAGTTTGTGTCGAGTGAACGTTAAACCCCATTTCGTTTTTTCTGTCAGGAAGTAGAGAAAGTGAAAGTGGAACCCCCATCGGTAGATGTCGCTGTTGGTAACGATACGGAGAAGATGAAGAGAAAGGGACGAATCAATTACTCTAGTCAACAGTTAAAGGCGATGGACAGAGTTTTTATAGAACAACCCTACCCTAACACTGATGTAGTAGAACGTCTGGCTCTAGAATTAAACATACCGCAAGCTAAAATAAGGGTAAGGATTCATCACACTAATAATTATAGGGATGGATCTACCAATGACCCTGGTTAGTCCAGACAGCAATCATGAAGCAGTCCATTAGTGCTGAGTGGGATTGAGTCTAATCAAAAAGTAGTACTGCGGGGAGTTTTTGGGAATCTACCCCGTGTAGACTGTCTTGGTAGGCAACTACCAGTGAACTAAACAGATTCAAATTAAGACTTCGAGGGCCCTAAGGCTACAAAATAAAATGAAATGGAGTTTAACGTCCTACTGTTCTGTTTCGATTGGGTTAATCAAGACGAGCATACGCCATACAGAGTGCTATGAGTGAAATTTGGCGCGCTAACGGTGTTATGGCCTACTCTTTTATCGATTTCGAACTGCCAAGGGATCTTTTACGTGCACGCCAATGTGTATACGGGACCTCGGTTTTTCGTCCCATCCGGATGACTAGACAACTGTCTTTGGCCCTCCGTCCTGCACCACTGACAGTGGGAAACCACGCGACCTCCAGGCTATCAAGCCACTGTGCCCCCCCCCCCCCCCCTAAGGCTTCAGGAACTCCGGCACTGGATCTAAAAAATATAACAGACCATTTCTTTCTCCTACATACTTCGAAATGACGTCGAACAAATTTGCGAAACCTTTCCCGCCGTTTTGACTTCGGTGCACTATAATCGTATACATGTATGCCCCAAAATGAGCAGAAAAATGCCTCAGAGCTTCTGATTTTAATATAATTCTCGGGTATCTTCCGATGTCTCCACCCCTCCACTGCTTGAATTCCTGAACACGACCCTAGATAAATATTGTGTAGGACGGTATGTCTGTTCTGCACTTTAAAAATTGATTGGCTCCGCATGCCAATAACACGTGCCTCTGGAACCATGGACAGCCTTGATATATTATGCCGAGATGTCCAAGACGAATATCTGAGCGATGGTTGAGCAATATGATAATTAAATCAGGAAGACCCGAAACTGCCAATGCCTGTGTTGGAGGGGTAAGAATAAACTCTCCAATCAGCCCTTGGAATCTATTCCTGGTATTTGTAGTGCTTTCCGCAGCCAAGATGGGCCTATTACAAAGAAAACCCAGAAGCAAGGAGCCAGGCTTTCTGCCTGTAAACTATCAATATGGCCACCCAAAGCGGCCAGTGAAAGAAACTAGCTATTGTCTGCTATTTTTTTCAGGTATGGTTCCAAAACAAACGTGCACGTGCCAGAAGGAAGGGTAGCAGTAAAATACCCAATGTTTCAACCAATGACAGTCAAGAATCATTTAATACCATGACGTCATACAGACCGTTACCACCCATTGGTTCAACACCGAACTTTGCTACCGGTGATAACTCTTCGTTGTATTCAAGTAGTCATATTAACCCTAATATAATGCCCTATTTACCCCCTTCCCGGCCTTGATGTCTCGTGCGCTTTAGATCGCGGCATGTCATTGAGTGAAGTGACGTGGTTTGGAGTCCACACCTGTACGTGACAATGACTACGATCGCCTGTCCAACATCTTTGGGTTTTTTCCCCGTTCCTTCGGTTTTCTGCCACTGCTTAAGGTCCCCTATGCGCATGCGAATTATTGAAATAAAATTGAACCATATGTTAGTCCCGAAATGACATATAGGTGTGTCGTGTGGACGTTAAACCCCGTTTATCTCTCCCTCAACATTTCTCCTTACCCCACCAACGCATCTTGTCTGTATTCTCCTTGGCTTACGGGAGGGTCACCGCCATTAGCTAACTGTACTGAACCTAGGACAAGATCAAGATGACCCTTGTGCAAACAGGACTCATTCCCGCCCCGTTCTGGAAATCATTTGTTGTGACGCCTGACAACGTGGACGACGTGGACGGCGCCGGGTGTTTTGTGACTCCTGCCAACGTGGACGACGCAGGGTGTTGTGTGACTTCTGACAACGTGGACGACACCGTATGGGCCGTGACTCCTGACGATATATATTTATTAAATATTTATAATTTATGATATTTTTGTATATAATTAATTGTTTATTTTTTATATATTATATAATAACATATAATGTGCTAACTACAACCCTGTTTAATTTGTATATTTACCTAATTTTGAAAAAGACAGATAATGCCCAAAGAGCGAAAGATAAATAAACGTTTATGTGAATCACTAACAAAAGCCTAAAAGAAATTATCATTTGAAACGCTTAGAGCATTTCTGTCAATGGCGGTTTGACGAAATCAAAATCTAAAGAGCTACAGAAAAAATGTCGTCTTTTCGACTGCACGGTAATGCTAAAACCTCGTCTGTTCGACTGGTAAATCTAAAACGTCGTCAAAACGTCATCCTTTAGGCCTGATAACTCCAAAATAACGTCTTTTTGACTGGTAACTTTAAAACATCGTCTTTATGACCGGTAAATCTAAGACGTCGTCAAAACGTCGACCCTTTGACTAGTACATCTGAAACGTCATCTTTTCAACCTGGCAAATATAAACACCATCCTTTCGGCCTGATAACTCCAAAATATTGTCTATTTGACTTGTAAAACGTCGTCCTTTTGAATAGTAAATCTGAAACGCCATCTTTTCAACCTGTCAAATTTAAACATCATTCTTTCGGCTTGATAGCTCCAAAATGTCGTCTATTTGACTGATAACTCTAAAGTACTTTATTAAATCACCAAACCTACCTGTGCCGCGATTAAATAACCGGAAACAATTTCCGTGAAATAATTACATGTATATAAGACCATCTTGGGGTATTTTCATAATATATTTACGTTTTTCTATTTGAATTTCACGTGTAATACATTACTCTCAATCTCATTTTAGTGTAACCGGGTCTTGAATAAACTTGTTTATTTGTATTTTGGTGTAACATGGGCTTGAATAAACAAACTTTGGTGTAACCGGGTCTTGATAAACCAGCCTACACAATACTTGTAATTTGGCGTAACCGGGTCTTGAATAAAAAAGCCTGTACAGTATATGTATTTTGGTGTAACCGGGGCTTGAATAGACCAGTCTATGCAATACTTGTTATTTTGTGTAACCGTGCCATAAATAAATCGGACAATCAATGTATTTTGGTGTAACCGGGGCTTCAATAAATCAGCCTATATTTATTTATCTGTTGTCTCTTGTACGAGTCAATCTTTTAAAAACTATAGATTCTTTTTAGTTTCTAATAGGCAAATTTGACGTCATAACAGAATTTAATTGTTATTTATGAGAACAGATTAAGCATTTTTGTAAACCATTTAAAAGCGTTTTATCGATTTCAACAATGACGTCATCAAATACTAAAAACGCCTCTTAAGAAAACAAATAGCGTTCTCAAAAGGCTATTTGACATTATCTGGTTTTGAAATAGACATTTATCTAATTTTGTTATTGTAAATAGAACCAGGTTATTTGTGTATATTATATAATTATGTAATTTATATTTAAAAACGAAAAAAACAAAAAACATGTCTTTAAAAATAATGATTTTATCTTATGAACTAAATGGTGCTAAAGTATTTTATGAAAAATATTATATTTTTACTTTTGTTTTCTTTAATTTTTGAGAAAGTAAAATAAAGTTTATGATAAAATAATGAGTGTTTTGTATTATTTAGAAAGATGGAGGTAGTGCGTAAATGGAGTTTTTACCTGTTTAAACATACATTATGCAAGAGCTAAATCTGTCGATTGCAGGTATTTCTTTATGCATGAAATGTGTTCTAAATTATTAATTAAACATTAATTAACTTATCCAGACCATAATCAACTCTCGATGACATCGCTAGCCTGCGATATTTACTGGATTATGACCCCATTTGCTGCTCTGCATCCAATTCCAATGTTCAAGGTGTAGCACTACCTGTCGGGCGGATACGGAAAGCGAAGCCGCCAAAAGCTTACCACATCCGACGTGAGACATCCTTGCCACACATCTTTTGTGTTGGCCTATGATCGTTTAGGTTTGAAATGAAATGGGGTTTAACTTCGTACTGTTCTGCTTTGACTGGGATAATGAAAACGGGCATACGCCATACAATGTGCTATGAGGAAAATTTTGCCCGGGCAACGGCACTATGGTCTACTCTTATATCGAATTCCAACTGTCAAGGGACTTTTTACGTACATGCCAATGTATACACGGAACCTCGTTTTTTCGTGCCAAGGGGGGGGGGGGGTGGATGGCCGAATGGTTAGCACGCGCGCTGTATCATACGGTCTGTCATTGAGTCAACTGGCGGGGTTTCGAATCCCTGGTTGTACATGACAAGGAGTAGGGTCGCCTGTCCAACCTCGTGGGTTTTCTCCGGGTCCTCCGGTTTCCTCCCACAGCTAAACCCCTACGCGCAAGCGAATTATGGAAATAAAATTGAACCATATGTTAGTCCCGAAAAAAACTAGTTTGTGTCGAGTGGACGTTAAACCCCATCCCTCTCTCTCTCTCTCTTTCTTTCTCTCTCTTTTTCGTGCCATCTGAACGACTAGACAGTTGTCCTTGTCAGGCCCTCCATCCTGCACCACTGACAAGGTGAAACCACGTTGGAAAATTCCGATGAACTTTCTCGGCCAATGCAGGGATCGACCACGCGACCTCCAGGCTAGCGAGCCAGCGTCTTACCCACTTGGCCACCGTGACCGCCCCCCCCCCCCCCGTCTATGTTTGACTGCAGTGGATACTGATGGAACTCTCTACTCTTGGACTTCACGTTATGTACTTATTTACAGCAGCCAAATCATATGTTTATCAGGAATAACAAGAGTTTCTTATATACGTTTTTATATCGAAGCAGGATACCTAATTATAGTCTACATAATATTTAAAAATAACACGTCTTTCATTGTCTCAAACCCACTCCTGTAAAGTCTAGCCAGAGTGGCTAGACTTCTGGAAAACACTACAACATGGACGTCTCATAATCTCAATGGCATCTCATTTGATAAGCCTAATTTTGCTATTTTATATTCCCCGATTTCTGGGATGAGCGATTTATGAATTATTGGAATAGTTAATTATGGCCAATGGACATTGACCTTGACTGTCAACCTGGTAAATATCCATTTAAAATGCAATAACTCTACGAGTAATGATATGTGTATAACAACCAAAAAGGTAACCAACAATCAACAAGATACATTCCATCAGCGTTGGTGGGGTTAGATCTATTTGATAATGCCAACTTTAAGTTTGGTCAAAGAACACGACATGTAAACAGGGCTAGCGCTAATTCCAATCCTAACCCTGGACCTAACCCTAATCTACAATCTCGCCAACAATAATTACGCGTCTTAACCTTATTGACATCTCAGCGACCTTGACGAAAATTGAGTTGGCCTTAACAAATAGATCTAGTCGTTGGTGGAGTTTAATAAACAAGAGAGGATATGATGTGTTGTGTTTTGTTGACGTCCTATGGGTCACTCGAATATATAAAAATATCATCCATTTCCGTTGGATTAACAATCTGATTAAAAAACAGATTTTTATTTCGTTTCGTTTTTTTTATACTTTCGATGGCCTACACTACATGAAGATCTGACCAGTTGTACTGGGAGGTCGCGTCAGGGGGCATACAAGCCTATGACGTCAATCAGCGTTGACGTTACTAGGGGTTTACTCACAGTTCCGTGCAGAGACACCAAGAACTCGTCGTAAGACCATTTCATTGGCTAATTCCTCACATCAACTAGAACGCCTGTTATATAACAACTCTCCCGGATCCTAGTGTTGTGACGACAAATAAAACAAAATTTTGAACTATAAAAAACGAAACGAAATAGGATCTGTGTTTAATCAGATTAATTGGATTACGTGACGTCTAACTTGTTTATGATTTTGAAACCAGTAATAGATGGAGGCCATACTTATATATTGTTACATAGGGTGCTTTTGTGTACATGCCAACATATATACGGTACTAGACGCTGTATCTTGTCCGGCTCCCCGTCATGCACCACTGACAATGAAAACCCCCCGCTGGAACCAGGAATCGCACGATCAGTGTTGCTATAGGAACATAATAAACGCCGAAGAGAGAACATCAACACAAGAACATCAACATTTTATCATTCAAAATACAGTTCAGACCAAAGCACGTGATTTTATAGATAGTAAAATTACCCATATTAAAGAAGTAGATAGTAGGACATACCGCGTCATGTTTCGTATTTGGGTCATTTCAAGATTAAAGCCTGATTTATAAGTTTGTGGAAAAACAACCTGTGGTCTGAATCCAAGCCCATCTGGCCGCCATTCACCTCTTCATTCATGAGTCGGAAAACGCGACAG